TGTAATTTCAACTCTAGCATCAGGCTCTTCATTCTGCATTCCAACACTTACTGTTGAGCGCTTGCTTAGACTGCAGAGTAACTGTTTGTTCCATTAAAAAGTAGGGGCTAGTTGCATTAAAAATGCTCTGAGATAGACAAAAACACTGCTCTGATTTTCTTTTAGTGTTTGGTTAAATATTGCCTCTGTCCCAACTACGTTTGTTTTTCAAAATCCGCAAGCAACCTCACCACTAGAACTCCTTCATGAAAATAAAAACACTATCCTTGACTGTCAAGTAGCTACTTTTCATGCAACAGTGACCCCAGTTTGACAGAAGACCACAACGCACACAGGTCAAACATGTAAGCAAGATTTTTTTAAGTCAAATTTCACTGTTGTCTTAAAGGTAAAATTTAGTTTGTTATGCAACTAGCCGTCTGTATATTACACCTTCTCCATTTTGACTTTACTTAGATTTAATTTCTAAAGCATTACGCGTTCTTACATAAGTCTATTTTTGTATGCATTTGTCATGGGTTTCACATTTGGTGACTGGTTAGCAGTGTGCTGGCCATCTTTGGTTTGTAGAGGAAATCTTAACCATGAACAATCAAGGGGGCTTAAAAGAACTTTTTAAATGCTAGCTTTTTACTCAAACTTGTATCTATACTACATCACGCCACATTAAGTAGAAGCACACATCACAAAATTGCACAGGGATTACAATATTACATCCAGTCTGCATAAAATTGAATTCCACTACTGACCAGGTCACAAAATGGCTGCACTTTCTAGTCTAAAACTAATTTGCATATTGTACACATGTAGGACATTTTTTTACTTCAGTCACAATAATGCATGCAAGTCTGGTTTTTTGTAACAAATTTTGTAAATTTGCTCATGCTACCTAGTTTCAAGAGAGCCTTTTTTGAACATTTGCAATAACTCACCTCTTGTTAATTAATAGTTCTAGTGCATGCATATGGTGTATACAGGTAAGTAAACATGCAATTTTTTTCACATTCTAAAACTATGGCAGTTTAGGCCATATTGTGCTGCCTGCATTTAATCTGTAATGCAGTGTGTCTTAAACGTTTCAATCCCGTATTAATAGGTGGCATTACACATAACACCTATATAGCAGCAAAGCTAATACAGCTTGTGATTAAAAATGTTTAAAAATAGCTAATAAATCAGATTATCTTGAGGTATTATTTCTTGCAAGTCAAAATGGAGAGCAAAAAATCAACCCTAATTTTTAGTTTATGTATACACTGAAAATAGCAACAACAATAAAAATAAGCTTTTTTTGTAGCAGACATATTCCATCTTCACTATTTTGCTACCTTTGGTAAATTACTGGGGCAGATCTTGAAGTTAAAAACCCATGTTTAGAAATAAGTGCACGCTTCACCCACTAAATATAGCAGCAGACTGTGTGCCCCTACGCAAAAACATTCTCGTATCTAGTTTTTAACTTTACATATAAAAATAACTTGGAGAAAATACAAAAAAACATTTTATTTTAACATGAAAATATCACAAAAATTAGTAAGCCTGAGATGTAGGGTTTTGGTGAAAAACAAGAGGCTTGTAGTGTTTTGGCTGCTGATAAAGATGCATGTATTGATAGCTGGGGTGAAAAGCAGAAGAATGCACTTATTTCTTCTGCATGTCAGTATCTTCAAACACAGTAAGCCACATGCACCCTTCTTTCCTTATGTAGATGCTGGTTCACCATGTTTAATTCCAGCGGAAGTGGATCTGACGTGGGCGGTCAGCCCCCTCCTTTACCAATGGCTTGTGGAATTCACGTCCTGCGCGAGAGTGGATGTTTGCCCAACAGAACTCACAGTAATACTGCAGGCAAGTGACATTGGCACAAAAGAAAGGAGCAAACTTCCCACCGCATCGCGCGCCCTGGCATTCGTCACACATCTGGTCATCCAACACGTATGGCTTTACCTCCACCTGTTGGAGTCAAACAGAAACAATTCCAGTTAATACCTACTCCTCCTCAAAGCTATGTGAAGACATTCAGGTTTTTCTGGCTTAACACCCGCCCCCCCCTGCAGAAGTCTGAAATCGGACATATTACTGCCTTTACCTAACTGACCAGCTACGACTGTTCGTCATTTATCAGCTACAGATCTATCCACACAGGAAGCAGAACGCTACAAGGCAGATCTTTAGCAGTACACCACATCTGTAATGAACAGCTACACCAGAACCTCCCCTTAATTTACCCTGGGAGGATGTTCTTGGCAAATGATGATATGGAAGTACGTGTAGAAAATGAGCAAACAAGCCCAAAGGTCTAATCAGCTCCTGAATGCACCCCAGTATGACACCTGATTCTATACTGTTTAGCAAAAAAACAACGGAACATACAAGAATGCAACCATTTACACATTAATCTTCTTCAAAAAAACAAGTATAAGTCTCTGCATGTACTGCTTTTGTATGCAAATTAAAAGTACTTTCTGCAAGTTGGAATACAGCTCTTTTAGAACTCCTGTTCCCTGTAAATTCATTCCCTATTTCTAATATATGGTCAAATTTGGAGCTACACATTTTGGTCATCTCTTACTGTCCCTTTTTGAGGTTTTCAGCTGTACAGAAATTTGTATTCAATGTATTTCTGCAATATTTTTAAAAGACCATTTCGCAAGTCTACAGACTGCTAGAAACACCTGTCTCACACAGCTTTTTTCTCCCAAACTCATCTGATTGCCAGAGTGGAAAAGTGGCAGGAGTCCAGTGGTAAATCTGCATTATGCCTTTGTGTAACTGAACCGTTACAGACTGCGATCAGACAGGAAGAACAACTTCATAATAAAACACAAAATGAGTTGACTCCATCATTAAGGAATGTATTGTTGTCTTCCACATTTTCCTCACTTTTAAAGACGGTATTTTCTGCCTTTTGTTGGCAAAAAGAGTTATTCCAGTTCATACTAAAACTCACTGCTGCAAGAGATTTTTTCCCCAAGATACTACTACCTGAGAAGAATGCTACATATAGAGATTGACTTTATGTACTATACTCAGACAGAGTAAGTTTGAAATAGTAACTCTAAAATGCTATTTTTTCCACTGTGTCCCCAGAGGAAAAATATTTACACATACAGCTACCTACCCAAAAGTTTTACAGCAGAACAGTCTTTGTTTTCTTGGCTTCAGAAGTTGGCCATACCTGACACGTCAAACGCATCGATGTTTAACACAGAGTATGCTTCTCCCAGTAATCCGTATTCAGTACAAGCTCTGCTTCTTATTTCACTACAACGACCTGCCTTATCGCAAGCTACGCTCAAACTTCCCAATAAACAGCTACCTTCTGCAGTAACTGTGTTCATGGTTCAGAATTACTGAAAGCACGAAGCAGCATGTATTTCAAGCTTCGGTGCATTAATGCACCAAGATCAGTATGAAGATGATTTCAAATGTATTAGAGAAATGCTTTGGGGAATGGAAGTATAACATGAAGTGGATGCAGACTGCTGGCATATGAAAGTTAACATTTTAGGGAGTTGTTTGGAGCTGAAACTCCAAACGAGTTTCAAGAAAACGTTTGGAGCTGAGCTTTCATATGTGATAAAACAGGATGAGGAGCACTTCACTGAAGAAAAACATCTGTTAGAGAAACTAAACATACCTACACATCAAAAGAATGGGAGAAAAGCTGCAGAGTACTTAGGTAAGGAAAAAGTTAAGATCACAAACAATGTTTGTTAAGCGACTGTGACATGAAGGTTTCCAATTAAGGCAGGAAAAGGTATGTGGAGAAAAAAATGCTATAAATACTTTGGGCTAAAGTTCAGAAGGATAAGCAGGTGGACTGCAAAATCTAGCAATGAAAAAAGACTTTACACAGACAAAACTGGTTATGAAAAGAATGCGACAGGACAGCAGGCCTACAGAAACTGGATGTAACTGGTACAGAAAGGCTATGCTAAGGTAAAGGGTAGGAGAACAGCCTGCCTCTAAGATTTCAGGGAAATATGTACTATATCGCCTTACTGGCCAGCACACGTACACGTCTCAGATGAAGGCAGTACCCGAAGTAGGACTATCTTCCTCATGTACAAAACTAGTGGTTTACAGATTTATACAAATTACTTGCTCGTCTATACATCAGCAGTAATACTGATTTCAGAATATTTTCAGAGCCTGAAAAGGCATTAGTGTATGTACTCCACAGAGCAAAAACTTATTTCTGAAAATAGCTTTTTTCATATGTTCAGAAACAGCTAACAGTTAAAGGTGTTCCTTAAATAGAGGCTGTTCTCTATTACTCCTCAGTAACGCAAATAACTGGATTGTACAACTACATATATAGTCATACAAATAATAAAGACTGATCATATTAAATTAGAGAAGATGATTTAAAAAATAAAGACTAAAAACCCTCCGAAATACACAGATGTTCATAAACCTTTCGCATCACAAGGTTTAAAGACAAATTTATTAAAATACTTGGATTTGGCATTGCTTTTTTTTTTTGTGAGAGAGACACCTCAGGGGTAGCACACGTTTTTAAAAACAATTAAAAAAAGGATGCTAATAAAAATGCCCTAAATTCCAGATTTAAGACAATACTTGAGTCAAATAAATAATTTTCAAGAATGAAGTAAGAAACACTAAATAAGGAAACACAAATTATAACAATTGAAAAGAAACTGCGAGAATTCAGATATTTAGAGTCTAGAACTTCCTTTCCTCTCCCCGCCCACCTCTCCAGCCCAAGAACAGCTATCTACAGATACTAATTATACTTCTTTCTTCCCTCTTTTTTTGTAATGGTGATTGAAGAAAACATTTTACTACTGTTTTTCTAAATTAAGTCTCATGGATATAGCTCAAATGTTGTACTTCTGAAATCTAGTATTTGGGGTAGATTTTGTATTGTTTTTTTTTGTTTGTTTTTTTTTTTT